AAAAAAAAAAAAGAAACTAGTGACGGGAGGCGGGGAGTTACAAGCCACGGTCGCTTAGAAAAATGTGGATCCAGCTGCTGGGGCAAGAGGGTCCTCCCACCCTAGGCTGGGAAGCTGAGTCTGCGGTCAGGGGCTGCACAGGAGTTCGTACGCCATCACTTATCACGTCCTGGGACCCAGACGAGGCACCCAGCAGGGGTCAGACTCTTGGTGTGTAAGAGTATTTTATCCACTGCTCGGGCCTTAAGTATAAGACAGCAGAGATTAGTCTGGGCTGTCTGACAGCAATTAGCAACCATATAATCCTGAAATAGACACCCTGGTTGCTGTGGCCGGAGCTCTGAGGGTTACCGCCAGCAGTGAGCTGAGCCTTGCCGAACTGCCAGAGCTAGGCTTCCAGATCTAAATGTAGTGCACCCCTTGGCAGATGGTGGGGCAATCTGGGGGGTGGGAGGGGGAGACCAAGTCTCAAGTCTGCCCAGCGTTCTTTGCGGTAACCTCCCTAATGGCCATATGCAATGCTGCCCAACACCATAAACTGCGTATCCTGCACTCCTGGAAGAGACGTAGGAATGTAAGTTCCGAGAGCAGGATTCTAGCTCATGTTGACACAGGCCCACAACCTAGCAAAGTGCCTGGCACGAGGAAGGGACTCGATAAAGAATGTGATGAGGAGAAGCCAGGGAAGAGAGCCCTCTTGCCTGTCCCAGGCTCTGAAGCCAAAGTCATTCAAGAGAACGATGCCTGATGGTTCACAGACAGCTGCCCTTGAGCCAAATCGTAACGGGTCTGGTCTGCCCATCTCTTACGGGTCTGGTCTGTACATCTGTGATGTCTGGTCTGCGCGGTGGTGGTTTTTAAAAGCCTAAGCCAACACTTTAGAGCTAGGAGATTTCACAGAAATCCGAAGATCTGGCGGAAGTACTCTTGCATCTACAGCGACGCCCGGAGTCTGTGCTGGAGTCTCCCGCCCCACAGCCTCCTCCCGCCTCCAACCCAGCCCCTCCTCACTCCCTGAGCAGCATAGAGGGGCCAGGGGAGCAGCAAGTGCCTGGCAACAGGCTCTCTGGCGTTGCCTTCCGGTCCCTGGGGTTCCCACAAAGACAAATGATGAGACCCTCAACAATACTAGGGAAAAGCTTGTATCACCAGAAAGCCCCCAGGCTTGGGGATGAGGCCTCCGTGTGTTAGAGACGCACACTACAGGGTCACATGGAGGACACCCACCCTACTGTGGTGACCCTGTGGGTGTGTCCCAGATAGGGGAGGCTGGGAATCCTCCCAGTGGGCAGAACTTGAAGCATTACAGAGTTTTTACCGAACGGCAAGCATGGCCCTGTGTTCTAAAATACACTCTCCCATTTAATTTATACAACCTGCCTATGGGATGCTGTGATGTAACACAAGAATATATCCTCCCTGTGTCCCAGTTCTTCCTGAATGCTGGAATGTCTTTTGTTATTCATAAGAAGCTGATTTCACACCTGAGTTTATGCTGAAAATGGAGGGAGTCACCAGAAGGACCAGAGGTGGGAGGGGCGCTTGCAGCCCGCTCCCCCCCCCGCCCCCCGCAGTGAGATGGGGGTGGAGTTGGAGTCTATAAAAACTCAAGAGAGAGGAAATTCGGAAAGCTCCCCTATTGCAAGCATTGTGTGCCCGGAGAGGGCACGGAAGCTTTGCATGGCCACCCCATACCTTGCCATATTTGTCTCTTCCACTTGGCTCGGAGTTGTAGCCTTAAAAACATTTTTTTAAGTTTATTTATCTATTTTTTTGAGAGAGAGAGAGAGAGATCGAGAGCAAGCGGGGGAAGGGCAGAGAGAGGGGGGGAGACAGAGAATCCCAAGCAAGCTCCTTACTGTCAGCGAAGAGCCAGACATGGGGCTCAAGCCCACAAACTGTGAGATCATGACCTGAGCCGAAACGAAGAGTCAGACGCTTAACTGACTGAGCCACCCAGGTGCCCCTGAGTTGTAGCCTTTAAAGTAAACTGGTATTCATAAGAAACTGTTTCTTCTGTGAGCCATTCTAGCAAATTTTTGAGCCTGCAGAGGGGGTGGAAAAACCCCTGATTTATAGCTGGCTGGTCAGAAGTATGGGTGGTCTGAGGTCGGCAGGCTCGTGGGACTGAGCTCTTTAACTTTGTAGGATCTGACTCCAACTCTAGGTAGCCGGTGTCAGGAGTGAACTGAGGTGTTAGACACCCAGCTGGTGTCTGGAGACTTGGAGAAGGGGCTGTTGGTGTTAGAATACACCCCAGTGGGTCTGTGGTCAGCAGTTCTATTTTACTGAAGATTCATGTAGACTCATGGGTTGTGAGATGGTGAGTGGTCACACGTGGGCTGGCTGTTCCACAATAAAGGTGAATAAGAAGTGGCCATCACTGGGAACAAGAGACCCAGAACTCTGGCCCAATGACACTGCTTCTGGATGTGACCATCAGAGGTGAATCTTTCTTGTCTTCCCCCTGGGGTGGGGTTGGGGCTTGAAGGACTTGTGTATGCCACTGTGATGACCAAAGACGCATCTCTGGAGTGGACTCCAAGAGAGAGCCATGAGCCGTTCAAGGGGCAGATTGTCACTGGCAAGTAAATGCCTGCCCAGACCACGCCCACAAAGAATCACCTCCCCAGCCCACAGCCAGAATGAGGGGTAGGTCTGAACTGCCGTGTCGGAATCGTGTGCTCCTACCCCTCCCTGGCCACGTCTCACTGGACCAAGGCTGGACATCTCACTCATGAGCTGAGTCGAAACTCCCCTTGAGAATGTGAGCTAACCGATAAGCACAGAGATAACTGTCATCTCGAGAATTAGAAAGTCACATAGACTAAAGGCCAAGGGCTGCCATTTGAGGCCGTGTGTGTTGATGATCTAGCCAAGAGAAACCAGGGGATAGAGGCACCCAGAGAAGAGCGGAGACCCTGCGGCCCGAGAAGGATGGAACAGCACTTTCTACCCCAATTCATTATAATAAAACCGGCTCTAGGGTGTTTCTGCTTCTTACAACCAGAAGTTCCAAAAGCAGAGAGCGAGAGATGGAGGAAGGAAGTGCAGAAGTTTAGGAGGGAGAGGACAGATGGAATCAGAAGTCACAGGAAGGTCAGGGAGGAGCATGAACCCAGCTGGGTAGTCCGGAAGGTCGGGTGGCAGTGCTTAAGCAGACACGACAGGGAGGTTCACAAGGCCAGGAGGGAAGAAAGAGGTGCTGGTAGGAGAGAAGAGAAAGTAGCTGGACAGGGAAAGTGCCACGGGAGAACCAGAGCTGGGAAACAGAGGAGGAAGCAGGACAGAGGAGGAGGTGCAGGGCAGGGAGCCCCCCCACCCCCCATCCACCGACACCCAGCCAGTGCAGTACCTGTTGGAGGCTGCTGCTCCAGACACAGTGCTGCCAGCCCCCATCCGCACCTTTGGAGTCCAGGCAGGAGGTGCAGTTGGGCAGGAGGTGACAGGGAGTGGGGCAGGGTAGGGGGGGCGATGACTCCACCGGCATTGGGGACACATTCAGCAGAGAGTGGCTGAAGCAGGTCCAGTCATAGGTGGGCTGCACCGAGAGGATGCGGCGGGTCTCCCCTGGGGTTAGCGGCACAGGAATTAGAACTGGTCCCCCCTCCCCTCCCCTGCCCTCTCCCTCCCTTCCTTGGGCCCAGGGGTCCAGGCCCCCACACGCTCCTCCAGGGGACCGAGCGGGCCTCACCTGTCCTCTTGAACTGCCTCGTCCACATGCACTTGCCCTCCCGGGTGCACTGCTCACAGTCGGCGGCCCCACATACAGCCTCTGAGCAGTTCCCGGCCCAGAAGACCTCTCGCTGGTTGATCCGACAGTCATTCTCTGAGGTGCAGGACCCATTCCGCCCGATGCAGGCGCCCTCGGGGCAGTTGGTACACCACTTACAGCGGGGGGCAGATGCCTGGTGGAGGAGCATGGGCTCCGTGGGGTCCTCAGGATCCCCCAGCACCCCTCGTGACCTGGCTCTTCCCACCCAACCTCAGCTGAAGCTCCTGAGATGCTCCCAACCCATCGCCCCCGCCATTCACCTCTCCATCTCCAGGCTGCAGGGTCCGGGGGTGGCGGGCCAGGCACTCACTGCAGGTCCGGAGACGTCGACATTCCTCCGGAGAGTGAGGCATTGGGGAACATGGGGGGCCCCCACAGCCCAGCCTGGGGAGACATGAGGCCTAGTTCACCACACCAGCCAGACCCCATCCCTCCTCCTCCTGCCCTTGCTACTTCCTGGTGCTTCCTAGACATCGTCCTGCAGGCCCCCCAACGTGCACCCCAAACTGGTCTCAGCACAGGCCTCCCAACCTGCTCCTCTCCCATCCTACTTGGCAACGGTCTCACGTCCTCATCACCCCAGCCAGAGATACTGGACAATACCCCACACCTTCCTGCCCCTCCAGTCACCAAGGCGTCCCCCTGTCTCCACCCCTGCAGCCCCTTGCCCAGCCCAGGCTTCTCCCTCTCACCCCAGCCTCCTCCTCCTCCTTGGCCTCCTCCAGGGCCTCCACCGACAGCCTCCTTCACCACTCTCTCCTTCCCAATAGTCCCAGGGCTTTGTGCCCAGGCCTGTTGCTGCCCTCCCCTGCTCAACCTTCCCTGGCTCCCCATCACCCACAGGGGAGGTTCATAATCCCTTACCCCGAATCCCTGAAGGTGCACATATTTCAGAACTTTCCAGATTTTAGAAAAGCAGTAGGTGTACCCACTGCCACATAGCACTCCTAGTGGAGTCTGGGAAACACCCCATAAATCAAACCCTTTAATAATTCAGTAGTAAACATGGTGACATTTTTAATGAGCCAAGCCAAGCCCGTTAGTAGTCCCATACCAGTCCAGGATAATTGCGGAGCCAAAAGAGTTTGTGCTGAACCTGGGACAGCCCTTTCAGCTTCCTGAGATGTCTGGAGTCCAAACTACAGATGAGGAATCCGTGGACCTGGCTGGAGCCCAGCGCCACAGCCAGGCACGGGAAGCACTTTCTGAGATATCCCCACCCACACTTCCAGTCTCATTTCCCCCCAACATAGACGGGCTCTAAAATACACCAGGCACATTGGGGCGCCTGGGTGGCGCAGTCGGTTAAGCGTCCGGCTTCAGCCAGGTCACGATCTCGCGGTCCGTGAGTTCGAGCCCCGCGTCGGGCTCTGGGCTGATGGCTCAGAGCCTGTTTCCGATTCTGTGTCTCCCTCTCTCTCTGCCCCTCCCCCGTTCATGCTCTGTCTCTCTCTGTCCCAAAAATAAATTAAAAAAACGTTGAAAAAAAAAAATTTTTAAAT